TTTTGTTATTTTCAATCTTATTATCAATACTAGTAATCTGCACGGAAAAATTATATGTTTATGTGCTTTTTAGAAGACAATTTTGTATATAAAATGTGTAATAATGCAATGATTATAAGAATAGACATATAAACATATAATTAAACTGAAAAGATCATATATTATTGACGACTTCCTTATATATAACATTACTGGTTTGATTCTTTGGCCCGTCATTTTCGCCACAAATTAAGATTTTCAATATCAAATACGGTACCTCATAACATTCATTCTGTTAGAGACCTCATTCTCCGTATCATATATATATAATTGTGCAAACTTTGGACATACACCTTCAGAAGGAACCAAGCTACTGATTAGATGATAATTTTGTCCATGCAGAGAAAACACTGGTGGCCCGGACCCCTTATTTATATGGGAATCGATCTTTCCCTCCAAAGATGTAAAATCGAGCATCCCATTGTAAGATCTTATGTTGTCTTGAAAATGTTTGCTCAATTGGTCACCTTCATGAAGCAAATCACTTAAAATTGGGGAAGATTTCGCGAAAAAAGGTAGCTGAATTTTTCCCATATGCAACAACCGGTGTACTAAGGGACAACTGCATTTTGATAATAAGTTTTCCTCTCCTCATACCAAAACATCGATCTGCAATACATACAACGAAAACTTGCATCAGCCATGGCCAAGTATTCTATAGATGTTTATTCAAGTAAAATGTATGGATAACATATATTCGTTAAATAATTTGTTTTGCATATTAAAAATACATACTAAAACTTACCGAACAATCCCGATGATGTTACTGTTGTTTTCCTAGGACAACCACGTTTCAGTTTTACTGTAGTTGGTTGAATGAGAGTATCATGTGCGAGATCAACCACAGAGCTTGCAATTATAGTTTGAGGTGTTGTCTCGTTGGTAATAGGCTCGTCCTCACTTGTGAGGTCGATAAAGATGCTATTGGTCGCATTACTACTGGCTTCTGAGTGGGTATTATACGACATTTACGTTTTCCTGTTGAAAAAAATAAAGAATATAATATATAATTAGTTTTATATTTATACAAATATTATAATGTATAAACAATATATATTTTGATATAGAAGAGACTCAAGGTCGAAATTCATGAACATACCAATTGAAGCATTAGACGTGCTCCAAAACCCTATTTTGTCCTACAACATATACAATGTCACACATAATTGTTGGTATATTATATGGTTTTAATATGAAAATACAAAAAATATATGTTTTTCAAAAAGTAATAAATCGTTGTACACTTAAAATTACTTACTATTTGTTATGTCAGAGAGCGGAGATTCACGTAAATTAATCACCATATTGCAGGGTGATTGTGTGTTTAAATTACGTCCTTGCGCATTCTTTGTGTTTGAACCCGTACATAAATAATTTTTTCAAACTCTATCTAACACATGAAATGTCAAACAAAACTCCAAATATGGAAATAGTATAAAACATATACATATATAACCAAATAATGTATGTATTATGAATTATCTAGAAAATGAATTAAACTAATCAAATATTTCTGACGTTAATGTGTTTTTCTAGAATGACCACATTTTCGTTTCTGTGTACTTGGTTGTATGTCTTCACAATTAATGAAACTGTTAAGGACAGGGGTCTTGGTATTCAAGGTCGTCTTCACTTGTGAGATCTATAACAATGTTTTCTTGTGAATTATTACCAACATTATGCAATGTAGATCTATGACGATTATGTTTACCTGTTACAAACAATAGTTACAACATATATATAAAAATCTTCAAGATTTGAATAAATTTTAAACTAAAACATTTTTTATATATATTTGTAAAGTAATAAATGAAATAACTGAAAACCATACCATCCAAAACAACGGATAACGCATCAATTCCATTTGTGTTATGCAGCACAGTAAGAGAGGATCTAATCCAGAGAGACCTGTTTATTTTATCTACAAATGTAGCTCAAAAGAATTAAAATTATGTTTATTACTAATAAGTAGAAAGTATGATAACTTATAAATTTTTTTATATAATAATAATAATAATAATAATAATAATAATAATAAGATAAGTGTGAATGTTGTTAAATATATTTTTCTATAATAAAATAATAATAATAATAATAATAATAATAATAATAATAATATAAGTGTGAATGTTGTTAAATATATGATTTCCTTGTTGTGAACCTGTTTTTTGCTTGTTCTTCATCCAGTTAGTTGTTTTTATATTAACTAAGATGATAATGTACATACTATAGTATTAATTGCACTATGGTTTCCCTGTTTTTGAACTTAATTTTGCTTTTTCTACATTTCTTTTGCTGTCTATTGTGCGAATATGATATCAATGTACATACTATGGCAAGACAAACTAAAATTTTATGATGATGTAATTGTCATTGGTGTTCTACATTTTCCTAAGTTGTTTTGAGTTGCTTATTTTGTGACTGATCTGTACATGGAAGTATGTTATTGGCTAACTAATTAATCCTCGATGTATGATGTAGCGTAAATAACTGGGATGTCAAAGATGCTTCACAAGAGGATTGAAGTGTTGTCAATTTCAAAGTCAAGTCTTAAGTTTAAAATATATTATATTTTATATTGTTTTTTAAGTTCATATGATATAACAAAGGCCAAATTGCATCAAAAACCTTGACCTTTGCCTAAATTGCAAATAAATCTCAACTTTTTTAAGTTTGCCATAAAATACCTCACCTTTTAGTTTTGTTGCATTGTAAGCTCCGATGAGATTTCCGAGCTCGTCCTTGCTGATGTGTCCGGCGAGGTGATGAGATGTCCAAGTAAAAAAACTGACGTGGCTTTTGTGCCTTATAACAACAAAAACCCATTTCCACATCACAATTTCTTCATTTCTTCCATTCCCAATTTTTCCCCTCTCTCTGCAACCCTAATCACGATTCTTTCATCCCCAAAATTGAGGCGCTGCAAAATTGAGAGCCAATATCAACGAGACAGAGTTGAGGCGCTGCAATATCAACCCTAATCGCAATTCTTTCAGCCCACAATGTCTGATAATTCACGCACGAGCTCAAACAATCGCCACTTCAGAACATCTGGCAGCTCGGTTAGGGCGGTATTCTGTGAGCATGGTGAGGAAGGAGATGTGTTTACATCAATGACAAGTGACAACCCAGCAAGAAGATTCTGCAAATGTTCCCACCATAAGGATAAGGTAAAAACTTCACTAGCTGCCTCCAACAGGTTTATCTTTTGTATTATTTACCCAAATATGTGACAAATTGGCTTGAAATATTTTGAATGAATTTGACAATCAGTTATTTTTTACGTAGATCAAAAAACCTTGTACCATGTTTGTTTGGATCGATCCGGAATTGCCACCATTTCAAAAGGGTTGTTTTGTTAAGCTTAAAGCAGAAAGGGACATATTGCAAGAGCAACTAATGTGCAAGAACGTAATGGAGAGGCTTCTTTCAGAAAGGTTGGAGCTAAAAGCTGTTGAGTTAGGAAAGTTACAAAATGAGAACAATGAGTTGGTGAAGAGGTTGGAGTTAAAAGCTGTTGAGTTAGGAAAGTTACAAAATGAGAACAATGTGTTGGTGAAGAGCTTGGAGTTAAAAGCTGTTGAGTTAGGAAGGTTACAAAATGAGAACAATGAGTTGGTGAAGAGCTTGGAGATTCAAGTAACAGAAAATGTTGAATTGAAATTACAACTTGACCTTGCTATTAGAAAAGCTGGAAATTTGGAGAAGAAACTCCTAATTCTGAAAGTTGCACTCTTCTTTGTTGTTGTCTTTGTTCCAATGTTCCAGTTGTTTAAGTAGGTTTGGGTGTGTGCCTGTTTGGTGGCCTGTGTGCCTGTTTGGTGGCCTGTGTGCCTGTTTTCTTTGTACTCTTTTGGTGGATTGAATGTTCTTTAAGTGTTGTTTAATTTTTGTGTTGCTGGTAGTTTGTAATAGGTTTGGTTGTGGTTTATAAATCCTAGTTGTCTTTTGCTTTGTTCCCACTTGAGGTGGTCATTGCTTTTTTACATTATGTTGGAGTTAAGAAATGGAAGTTTCACCATTTCAGGAAAACAATTAAGACTTGTGACAAGCTTTGCTATTTAATGTAATAGTGTTTGTGACATTTGATTTTTCTATTAGTTGATAGTATGTACATCATGATACACTAAATGAGACCACTAAAAGTAAAAGAGACAACAACATAAATATAATTGCAACCTGAAGGCAAAAAACTGGTACAATGTATTTTTATCACCAAAAACATGTCTTAATCCAAAACAATTGTGTAATGCCACAATATCATAAGGCAAAATAGACACAAGACTGCACTATCTTGTTTTATCCAAAACAATTGTTCTCATCCAAACAACAACTGTCTAATGCCACACTGTCACAAGACCATTGTTCAATCCAAAATAAATACAAAAAAAGATCACAAATTTCAATTGTCTAATGCACTCTCTTGAGTGCAAACATTGTCATCTCTTAGGCCTGTGGCAACTGTCCTCCTTTCACTTGAGCTTGCACCAATTGATCTTGAATCTCCTGAGGGTACATGAGCAGAAATCTGCAGCACAAAATAGATATAAGCAGACAACTGAAAAAACATTGATAAGTATTTGAAAGCTTAAGAGTAGACATCACCCACTAAAAAAGCATTGATAGACATCACCCACTTGAAAGCTTAAGAGTAGACTTTCACTATGCCAAATAAATGCATCCAAAAAGGATAAATAAATAAATAACAAAACATGCCTGTGACATGGTGCTTGCACCAATTGATGTTGAATCTTTTGAGGGTATGGAGTGAATCTTTCTATGAGAAGACATCTGCAATACAAAATAACATACAATTTTATTATGCACAATTATGATAAAATTAAATTCATGAAAAGAAGGGTAACAGAAAAAGACATGTACATACCCTCAGATAACTATTGCCTGTTTCTTCACATTGTAGGAGACCAAATCCTTTCCTAGCCTATAAAGTATCAACATTCCAATTAATTGGTGATTTCTATCTAAACTATACATAAACTAAAAAATTAAGCAAATAAAAAACTACCATTGCCCTCTCTTTTTGAACCGTTGAACTATGTCGATGGTTCACATTCCTTCTAACTGGTAACTTAGTTCCTCTCTGAATTGATGAATTGTTTGGCTCCACAACAGGAACTCCAGATGAAGATTGGGTGTTTTTCTTTGGCCTTCCTCTTGGTTTCTGCCAAGATGAAAAGAAAATGACATTATACCTCATTATATGTTATATTAAATTCAGTTTGTATTGTCTAATATATTTGTTACCTTGTCTTCTCTCTGAACTGGTTCTTTTTTACAAGTCTTCTTGTTGTGACCTTTTTGAAGACAATTTTGGCATGTCATTTGGAGACCAAATCTCTTCAACTTTGTGGCAGATTTTCTCTCTTCTTCAGGTGCCCTTCTCCTTTTCTTCTTAGGCGGCCTCCCAGGCATCTTTCTGAATGGTGGTGGCTTGATAGGATATCCAGAAGCAACAGGCCATAATTTCTTACCATTAATTGGCTCCAGGGCAGTGGAATACAAACTAATGTACTTTTCAACACTATACCACTCATGAACATAATCAGCTGCATCTTTGTGAAGAAAATTAATTGCAGAACAACCATGAATACAAGGGATTCCTGTGATATCCCAATGCCTACATGTACAAGTTCTGTTTCTCAAATCAACAACAAACTGGTCTTCTTCACATGCCACTTGAAATCTATCCCCTACAGCTGGTTGGGTCACACACAATCTAGACTTGAACTTGTTAGCCTCTAATTTGGACCTAATTCTAGGGCATATTGTATCTGTCAATCCACTCACCTCCATGAGCTTATTATATTGTCTGTGCATGAGCTCACTCCTAATGCATTCCAGCATTTCTATAATATGCTTTCCCCTAGCCTTCACAATATATCCATTAAATGTTTCACTAACATTATTTTCAATCATGTCTGATCTAGGCATAGGAGAAATAAAGGCCTTGCAAAACCTGGAAGGATTTCTCTCTAAAAAGTCCTTGTATGCTTCCTCATCTTCTGCTTTCAAATCATCTAGAGCAATGTTGTATGCAGCTCTATGTGTGCTGAGCACCAATCTCCAAAATATAGACTTCAACACTTGGCCCTTGAATTTCTTTTTCCAATTCATATAAACATGCCTAGCACAATTTCTGTGCTCAGCATATGGTGTTAGGTCCTCAATTGCATTCATTAATCCCTATTCATCAATAAGACATAACTAGTAAGTAAAAAGAAAAGACAAAAAAAAAAAAATACAAACAGAAAAATAAAAGTACAACTAACTAAGTACAGATGAATATGATCTTACCTTTTGTTGGTCACTGACAAAAGTTAAACCAAGGCCATCACCAATTCCCAAATCCTGAAACAAAATGGACAAAAACCATTTCCAACAAGCTTCATTCTCAGCTTCAACCACTGCCCAAGCCACAGGGTACATTTGGTTATTTCCATCCTTTGCTGTGGCACAAAGTAGTGCACCACCTAAAAAGGTCTTTAGAAAGCAACCATCAAAGCCTAAGATTGGCCTACAACCTCGTAAAAAACCTTTCCTAAGGGCACTAAATCCAATGTAGAAGGATTTGAACACAGAACCTTCTTGTAACTGAAACTCAAATCTTCCATCCCTATCAACTCTTTGTAGCTCAGCCATATAACTTCTAAGAGAGGCATAATGATCAGAAATGGATCCTCTCAACATTTCCAAAGCCTTCCATTTCCCTCTATACAACTTCCATTTGGTAGGTTGAACAGCATAATTCCTTAATATGTCATCTGCCAATTGATCTATTGTGAAATTTGGATTTTTCCTAAAAATGCCAATATACTCCCTAGCAATCCAATCTCCTGTCACTTGCCTAGTATGCACATCCCTATGGCATCTATGTTCAGGATTCAAGTGCTTAATTGCAAACCTACCCTCAGACCTAATTGGAGAAGCATAAAGACTCCAAGGGCAGCCCCCAACACACTTGGCATGTATCTGCCTTTTACTGGTTTTGACATTTCTTATGTTGTAACCATTGACAATGGCAACCTTTTGTATAGCCCTTCTAATCTGTTCTGCAGATTCAAACCTCATCCCAAGCACAAAATCAAAGTTTTTGTGATCACAGTTTGGATCATAAAAGATCTTTTTTTTTTTTACTCCTAGGTCTCCCCTCATCAACATCAAACTCATCACCACTGGAAGAGTTTGATACTACAACATGGTCATAATCTGAACCCTCAGATTGTGGTTCTGGTAGATCATCAGGAAATTCCACTTGTACATAATTAACATCCTCCTCAGATGGAGCAGCCCTCTTATATTCCTTAAAATTCCTCCTGGCAACAATTCTCTCTTCATCATCTGAAGCAAGTTCATGATCTGACAATCCATCATCAGATGAACTCTCATCTACAGGCACATAATCTTCATCTTCACCACTATCAGAAAAGCCTTTCCCCTCAGTACTGTCCTTCCCCATTGGTATCATCACAATATGCTCATCTTCATGAGTCTGAATTTCAGAGTAATTATGATCACCCTCATTTTCTTCTTCCAAGCAGTTATCCACATAAACATCAATTACCTTCTCTCCTTTCTGAACATATCCAATCATCTCCATTACTCCATCATCATTATGGACAAGTCTCATAGAATCAGGCCCTTCAACCCCTGGAACTTTGTAATAAAACGGACCCCAACTTGTGTATCCAAGGTTTTGCACTTCATCCTCTAAGTCTAGATAACCAAACCTATCGACATCTAAGTCATGTAAAATCTTAAAACCAAATCCATCATATTCCATCCCTAAACTGGTCCTATTGAATTTTCCACCATGGTTTATATAAATGGAGAACTCATCCCTGCAAGTTTCAAATATGGATACATTTAAACATACATACAATTATTAAAAAAAGATACATTCCAGTTATAAGCTAATTTAGAATATGAAAAACCTAATTTCAAAGAATTAACCAATTTTTCAAAATCTCTACAAAGAATGCCCAAATCACGAAACCCTATCTTTTGGCTCAGGGGGAATACCTGTTCTCCATTGATGACACAACAAATTCTTTGGAGCTCCACCTCTGTCTCGTTGATATTGGCTCTCAATTTTGCAGCGCCTCAATTTTGGGGATGAAAGAATCGTGATTAGGGTTGCAGAGAGAGGGGAAAAATTGGGAATGGAAGAAATGAAGAAATTGTGATGTGGAAATGGGTTTTTGTTGTTATAAGGCACAAAAGCCACGTCAGTTTTTTTACTTGGACATCTCATCACCTCGCCGGACACATCAGCGAGGACGAGCTCGGAAATCTCATCGGAGCTTACAATGCAACAAAACTAAAAGGTGAGGTATTTTATGGCAAACTTAAAAAAGTTGAGATTTATTTGCAATTTAGGCAAAGGTCAAGGTTTTTGATGCAATTTGGCCTATAACAAATATCATTCTAACCCTTTTTGTTTTATTTTTTGATGCTTTGATGTTGCAATACATATTCACGGAGCAGCATGACATAAAGATTTAAGCTGACAGCAATACCCAGTAGAAGACACATAAAGTAGGTACTCTTTTACAACAAAACTGGATATTTAATCTAAGTGATCATCTATTTATAAAATCATATCTCTAACATCAATATTTATTTATTTTTTATTTATTTTTTATTTTCACGTCCGAGCATGATGAGAATAAATAACAATATTCTTTAAAGCTCACAGTTTTACAACAAACTAGTAAGTAATAAAAGGTAAATTTGGATGTGTACCTGCTTTGTTCTCAATCATTGTTTGTTTTAAAATTGTCCTGTGAACAACTTCTGCTTGTTTGCTGCTCTCACCAATTGTATTCTTCATAAATTGAATGTTTTTCTAAGAAATCAAATCGTATCAGTCTGCATATCAAATAATCTTGTATAGATTATATAGATTATATATGAAAAAAAAAAAAAAACAAACTCAAGAAGAATATTTTGGTAATAAACTATAAAACATTGTATTTGCTTTACTGTTGGCTCTTCAATAGATTATCCTTGTGACGTGCGAGTGTTTGAATGATAGGAGAGAAGATTATGTGTTGGACTGAAATATTTCGTATCTCTGTAGAATTTTGGTGTTTTAGATGAATCAGGATTTCATGTGCTTTATAAAATACTAGTACGGGGCCTGTGTAATGCACGGGAGCATTTATTATATATATATTTTTTAAAAGATATTTTTTTATTTAAATTGTCTCATGCCATTAAAAATTTCATGAAAATAAAATTTATATGTTATTAAACACTTCCTTATGTACAACATTATTGATTTGATTCTTTGGCACGTAAAGTACTACATAGGTGTTCGAATTTATCCAAAATTTTATATTATTAGTTATTAGTTAACAAATTTTAAAAAAAATTAAAGGATCTTATTTATTGAAAAAAATTAAAGTAGAAAAAAAAGTAAAATTTTTTAGGGATTTTCACCCATTATTTATTTTAAATCTAATTCTAAATTTCTATTGAGAAAAATTGAAAAGAATCATTAGTTAGTTCCGGAAATGAAACGGATTTTCCTACCAATAAACAGATTTTTTTATCAAACAAATTGATCCGATTTTTTTTTTAAAAAACCAAATAAAAAAACCATCAATTTTTCCTAAAAATGCAACTAAATTTTTCTAACAGTGCACCAATTTTTGAACCAAACAAATTGAATTGAAAATAATTCTAATAAGAAATTGAAATAAATTGTTAATGTTTATGCAACTGTCTTTTTCCTAAAGAAAATGATATGAACTTAACCAAAAAAAAAATGATATGAACTTACCAAAATCTCGGTAAAACATGGTTAAGAAAAAACATAAGAATCCAAAAAAATCGATGCATTTAAATTTTGAAAAGTTGCACATAATTTTTTCTAAATAATTGAATAAGGTGACTTTAAATATCAATGATGAACCGCTTTTGTTACAAAAAATGTGGACACAATTTTGAATGTACATTCCGTCCAAATATCAGTTTTATTTTAAAATAAAATTGCACGTGGCTTTATCCAATTTACGCAATTCTTTTAAAAGAAAAAATTATTCAATAAGATTGGAAGAATTGGTTAAGAATTATACAACTATTTACTTCCTAAATTTGTATCCAATTTGTACTGTTTTTAAATTAATTTGTATTTAGAATTATTTTCATAAATAATTGACACATTTTTTGTATAAGAATCTCCAAATTTGTTACCAAAAAATATATGATTTAAATGTTGGTAAAAAAATAAAATATGATACAAAAAATATGGGATTCAAATTTTGCCATAAGAATCTCCAAATTTGTTATAAAAAAATAGGATTTAGATTTTGTTACTAAAGATTCACATTTGTTCTTTTTAACTTTCCATTAATAGTAAGTCAAACATTATATTTATTTGGTCAAACTTTCTATTAATGTATTTTTTCAACAACCTCTTTATATATTTATAGATAGATATGTATATTTAACATGTGTTAGTATTCTATCAGTTGTTTGGATAAACACGAAGTGCTATTTTGTAGTTAACTTGATATAATATATATTTATGGTATTTTTTACTTTATGCGTTATTAAATAGAAGGTAACAACCTGATATTTCTATCAAATTGAAAAGCATGTATTTCGGCCACGAAAGCATTTATTTCGGTTTTTTACTTGTTTTATTAAATTGTCTATAAATAGTATGTCAAAAAAATTATTTATTTGGTCAAAGTTTTTATAAATGTATTTTTCCAACAACCTCTCTATATATATATATATATATATATATATATAAATATCAACAGTGCAATCATGAAGTTTTTGCTATTCTCTCTTTTTACCAAATCTTTTATTCATTTTTTTTTTATTTTTTTCAGTCCAGTTTGGTCGATTTTCCAATAAAAATGGCCCCTACTCGAATTTGTCAAATAACTGGTGAAAATGAATTCAAGAGGGGTAGATTTATAGAGTTAGAGAGTAGTGTTTATCTAGTCAAATTTTAATGGATTTGAAAATTCGATATATACTCCCTCTGTTTTGTTTTAAATGTCGTTGTAGGGTGTAAACTTTTTTGTAAACTAATTGTCGTTGGAAATATTATATTCATTCTTACATCTTTATTCTCTTTAACAAACATTATCTCTTATCATTATCTTTAAAAACCATCCATTAATAATTCAAAAACTAAATTTAATAAGATTAAAAAATAAGATTATTACACAACCCATTAAAATCGTAATTTAAAAGTTTTAAATTAAAACGACATTTAATAAGAAACTGAGGGAGTATATATTAAGTGTTTTGGGGTCCAAACGACATATACGACATCGCCAGCTAGGATGATTATGCTCCATCACTTGCTTACTTTTCTTTTAGACAGTCAAAATAGAATGCCAACTTATCCTGCTCAATATTGTACCATTATTTCATTTTGATGTGACACGCTCATTAAAAGGGTAGACCTCCTTCTCACCAAAACAATACCACCTTCCACTAAATGCTAATGCCCAACTTACCTATATATTTTTATCTCCACAAATTCTCATCATAATACTTATTTAACAAAAATGCAGACTTTTATTATCAACTGTTGGCTCTTTTACTTATGTTTTCTTTTTAGAATATTACATTTTAATTTGAAAATATGTCTTTTAAAAGTGTGACTACCTAACTGTTTCATTTTATGTGTTATTCTATTAGATGAATGACACGTGTCATTGATGAAGTCATTATTATAAATTTGTCACTCACGAAAACATGAACTGAAACACAATTTTAAAAAATAGAATCTTTTTTTGTACATAGAAGCCTTACTATTTAATATTTATACAGAAGCTTTATTATTTATCGATCTGTCACAAATGTTTCTGACTATATTTTTCAAGAATTAAAATATTTCTACCAATCTCTTTACGAAACAATATTGGCAAAGTGAAACTTGAAATTATAAATTAAGAATCAAATTTATTTCTCTTTTCTCATGAAAATAAAAATAAAATAAAATAAAATAAAAAATAGTGCAATAAATGCACCAACAAATTACAAACCTAATAACCACCTAATAAGCTAAGCATACGTGAAAAAGACATTTCAACTTATGGTCCTTTTTTGTTCTCATTCTCTTCAANATTCTCTTCATCCCCTTACCTTGCAATGGCCTCGACCGCCAATATCCCTTACCGGAAACTGAAATATGACACATCATCGCTCGATAAAAAGCACGAAAATCGTTACTATAACACCTTTCTGGAAAAGGTTATCCGTAGGTCGAGAAGCTCGAGGCTCGGAAAACTCCGAACCAAGCGAAAGCAGAGGCTCAAGATCCCGAGCCTAAGGAGATTCCTGAGGCGAAAAGCCCGTGTTTTGAAGTTTGCTTGGAAGAAAGTCTGCAAGAGATTAAAGGAAAGTCAGTCACATTTTGGAGATCTTTTTGGTGGGAACTATTTGTTCATGCAGGTCACTCCAACTCCATTACAGCATGCTAATTATCATGTTAAGGAAAATCAGCTTCCTAATCCTGGGTTTTGTTCGATTCCTAGGATTAATTAATAATGATTTTATGGTTGTAATTAGTATATTGATGTGGTACGAATAAGAATCAGGATGGGGTGTGGCTGGTTAATTGTATTTATTATATTTATGTATTAATTATGTCCACATTTTTTGATTGTTGAGTGTGTGGGTTTTATTATTTTTATTTTATATTTATTGACAGGTTAAAATTATGGATAATGTAGAATATGGTTGTTAAGTATTTTAAATGCTCACATGCCCACAGTGGACACATGTTAATATGCTCACAGCTGTTGTTAAGTATTTGTAATATTTATCAATCATTGATATAATAAAGTAAGATAATTTTTTATTTCCACACCATTTTAAAAACTTTTATCAAATAAACTCTACTCTATTAATCCAATATCAAAATTGGAACAAAAGTATCATAGGTAGTTCCATAGCTAGTTTGGAAGCTCAAACCAAAATCCAGGCTTTTACATTAGAACTCTATAGATATCATTTAAAATTTTTTATTGGTCAATTTTAGCAAGGTGGAAAACAAAATAAAACGATCATCCAATATTAAGGCTAACTTGGTGTTTAGGAGATGTTTACAATTGATAGTGATGACAAAAAGACCTGAAACCGAATCGTCTAATCCAACGCATTTGGGGTAGGTCAAATCCGCCATATTTTTAAACGGGTCGGGTTGGATTCAATCCAAATCGGTTATCATCCACTCGCTCCTATTTTTTAATGTGTTAAGCTTAAGTGACAAGTTCGCACGTTTTAAAATCTTACTAGTGTGTACGGGTTCGATGCACGGGAATAATATTAAATTAACAATATTATAAATAGACCTCGAGTTTGAGTCACTCAATGGCGGAAGTGAAAACTACTATTGCTCCTATTTAAAAAGAGGAATAAAAAAAATAATTATAAATTAAAAAGGAGGATAAACAAATTATAAATTAAAGATTCGGGGTCAAACAATGTAAAATTATTTTGTATAAGAGAATATGAAAAAATTTGATTACACATCATCTCAAAATTATTATTATACTTTTTTGTATGGTTAGCTTATAATATTTGTAAAAATATTAGTAATTAGACCAATGAAAATTAACTTCTTAAAGTAGATAATGGATTTCTAGTAGTAATTATGAATTGATTTCTATTTTATTTTTTTATTTTTTTAATAGTTTTCTAGTAATAATTATAAATTGGTTTCTATTTTATTTTATTTTTTCAAATCTGTATAGATAAGGGATGAGATTTTTTAAACACGTGAGACGTATGCAATGGGATTTTGTAACAGAAGAGATAAGCTCGTGTAGATTTATACTAAAAATAGAAAAAAGAAAAACAAATATTTATTGTCAAACAACGGTTTTGATAAACTAAAAAACAGGAGAAACAAATCTTTACACAATTAATGAGCCGATTTTTTTGCCTATTCAGATTTGTCCAACAATTACTATATGTAGGATATATTTAATGATTTTAGCGGGAAAAAGTTTCTAAATTTGTAAAAAAGTTATTCTTTTTATATAATGATAGATTCATAGGCTTGACATATAAAACTCATTTGATGGGATTTTCTTAACTAAACTGATGCTATGGGATAAAACAAATCTATACTTACATTTGACTTTTCCAACAAAGGTAAAAAAATCGGTTCTGATTTTTATCCCATAACAAATCTTTAATGTCAAGCCTATAAATACCAAAACAAATATGTAATTAATATCATTTTATTTCCAGCAAACATTAATTACCTTTGACTTTTCTTCCTACTATTTCTAGTAAATAGGATGACTTTTTATATAAGTATAGATTTCATATAATGCAAAGACTGAGATCATAAAAAAGAATCCTAAAAACTGAAACAATATATTTGCATAATTTAAGGCCATTAAGAAATCGATCTGTAAACCAGATTTGATTTTCAGAATATGTTTTTTCATTTCGAATTCCATACAAAATGGAATTCTTTCCAACCAATAGATGTCATAGCAAATATTAACTCTTAACTATTAGACTATTAGTACATACTGAGCAAATTGTGTACTGATTTTAGAAAGTTATAATGATTCATGTTAGGTAATTTTACATTTTATGCATGTTGAATGGTGGGTTTTAAATATTGTTTCATAGAATGTAAAAGTGTATTATATTATTTTTATGAGATGTTGAATTTGAAAATTAATAGAATTCTTCTTCATATGAATTTTAAATGTAACAATATTCTTTGGTATACACTACTAATAAAATCTATATTTAAAGTTTATATTTTTTTTTATCGGAAAAAATTCCTTAATTTAAGGAATCATATATCTTCAATCAGTCCACATATATATACATTCTTCACAATTTTAAATCTTGAATTTGATGAGAATTCGTATCTATGAGTGCAAAACATGGTTTAACAAATTAATTTTTTATTATTATTCCAGCCATACTTCTTTATACGAGTTTTTGTGAAAATACAAAAGTAAATTCTTAATTTTAAATCAGCCGTACATTAAAGAGTACAAATTTGTTGAAATTACAAAAATAATTTTTTACTTTTAAACAGACGTAAATTTAAATCAGTTATAAAAAAGTAATATTTATTTACTATTTAAATATTAAATCAGCCGTAATTAATGTTGTTTGTTTTAGTTGCCACGATTTTCTCCAAACTAAATTAACAACTGCCATGATTTAAGGGCAACATTTAATGCTGCTCTATTTTTTGGAGACATTAAATGTATTTGGCGGGAAAAACTTGCTAAAAATATTAAATGGTTAATCTTTTAATATAATGATAGATGTGATAAATTTTCATTATTAATCATTTGGCTTAAATGTATTTTAATCAAAGTTTCAATCCTGAAATAACTAGGTTTAAAATATCCGTATATATATTAGACATTTATTATATTTCTTAAGAGCATTAATTATGTTTTAGTATTATTTTCTATTCTACACTTGGTGCATAAAGTATAATTTTTTTTCTCAA